TAGAAGAAATAAGGCAGGACTGAAACACAGGGAGTCTGACTCAAGGGCATGTAAGTTAAAATACATTGTAATACCACCTCTTCATAATTCTTTTACATTTCACACAGTTAGGAAATCGTTAGCATACTGAGGTTTTCTTCCAAAATATAATTCTATAGAGATACTTTCATACTTTCTTTTAAAAAATACTTCTACAGAGATCTTAGTCATAGGAATTTTTAAAATTCTGTCACACAAAAAAAATTGACATAGCACATATCTCTCTATCTAAAAGAAACAGGCTTTTCATATTGTTGAAAAAACCATTGTCTTTTAAAATATTAACTGGAAAGGAATATCGTATAAGAAAATAAAATTACATATTATTTTATATTGTCCTATACATCTTAAAAAATCACTATCTTCCCCAAAGCCAACAGTTCCCTCAAAGAAAATGTGTTAATTGACATCTATTTATGTGGGAAATAATGTAAATCTTGCCTGGATGTTACGTATTTTTCATACATCTCTTCTCTAGCCTTTTTGGTTTCTTCAAGTTGAGTTTGAAGTCTTTCAAGTCGATCCTCTTCATGGGCACAGCGAACACTAAGCTCCATGTTTTGGCGATTGAGATATTCTTTATCCTTTTGCAGTAAAGTAACAGTCTGCTGTAAGGTGGCCACCTACATACATGTAGACACAAAAATCATACAGAGTGATGCCATCTTACTTTTCAAGGTTGACTGTATTAGTTTCTTTCCTTCATGTTTTCATTCACCACATGACAATTTTCCTTTTAAAAAGGCCTAATTCTTAGAATGCCTTTCTTTAAAATCCAAAAATAGCTACGAAAGTCTCTTTTTGGGGCCGTGCATGGTGGCTCACGCCTGTAATCCCAGCACTTTGGGAGGCCAAGGCAGGTGGATCATCTGAGGTCAGGAGTTCAAGACCAGCCTTGCCAACATGCTGTTGGCTACTAAAATGTAAAAATTAGCCAGGCATGGTAGCACATGCCTGTAATCCCAGGTACCGGGGAGGCTGCGGTAGGAGAATTGTTTGAAACCAGGAAGCAGAGGTTGCAGTGAGCCAAGATCACAGCACTGCACAATAGCCTAGGCAACAGGGCAAGACTCCCATCTCAAAAAAAAAAAAAAAAAGTAAAATAAAAAAAAAGTCTCTTTTTGGGAACCAAGTATATTAAAAACATGTCTCTCCCTCAAATCTACTCTGGGCTATTTTTTTTCACTAATACTGTACAATAAAATATAAGTGACTCTATTCGTAAGCTTACCTCTTTTGATAATTCACTTCTTTCTCTTGTTTGAATTATGTGAGAGGCTTCAAGTATTTCATGTTTTCTCCTAAGCTCAATTACTTCTTGTTCAAATGCATCACGTTCACTATTAAAAGAAAATTCAAATAGACATGTAATTTTGCATCCCCTTTTACAATAAACATTTTTAAAGGGTTGACTATGTATTAGGACACTGAATAGAGACACTAGCAATGGGGCTTGAGTGTAATTCCATTAACTATAAAGTATCTACTTTTCAGATTTAGAAGGAACTCTATTTCAGATCTTGTTCAGATACATAAATACCAATTTATCACTTCTAAGGAATAAATACATAAACTACATAAGCCAGTAAATAATAAAACTTACTAAGGTAGATTTGGTATTTTTTCACTAGTCATCTTCAATCTTATCTTAAGGTCAAAACTTTTAAAGAATGTATACATGGCTCTAGGCTTTCAGTTCAGTTAAGGTCAAAAAACACTCACAACTTATCATTTAGATTGCATAGAGATACACAAGCAGGCATTCTTGTGACCATTTCATTCACAAATTGTTTATGATTACCCAGATTTTAATTCCCATTTTAAAGCAAGTACCCCAAAAAAAAGTTATACCAAGAATTGGATTAAAACCTATAACAGACATTTTTTAAAATGAGCAGAGAAATCAATTTACTAACTCTTAACTACTTCTCTGCAGTCAGAAGCAGTCCCTTTGCACTTTATTTCACTGACCCACCTGGTATTTCCAAAGAGAGGGCTGTTAGGAATTGTTTTCTTTTGCATCAGCTTTTCAAACACTTTTAGAAAGTCTTTTTTTCTTCTGGTTAACAAAGCATTATGTTTATTGAAGAAAAACTGAGCAAAGCACAACATAACAATCACCTACAAACCCAATAAGTAAAGATGACTATCAGTATTAATATTCTGATACGCATTACAAGTACTTTGTGCTTTTTTATTTTTAAAATGTTTATTCTTAATTTTAAAATGTTTTAAATTTTATTTTGTGCTTTTATATGCAATTTTTATAAAATCTTTTTTTTTTTTTTTTTTTTTTTTTTTTTGAGATGAGGGTCTCGCTCTGTCACCCAGGCTGGAGTGCAGTGTTGTAATCATAGCTTACTGCAGCATCTAATTTCCGGGCTCAAGCAATTCTCCTGCCTCAGGCGTCTGCGTAGCTAGAACTGCAGGTGTGCACCACTATGCCAGGCTGGGGTGTTTTTGTTGTTAGTGGTGGTGGTTTGTTTGTTTTTTGCAGAGATGAGGGTCTGCTTTTGGCCAGGCTGGTCTCTAACTCCTGGCCTCAAGCAATCCTCTCACCTAAGCCTCCCTAACTTCTGGAATTACATGCATGAGCCACTGTGCCTGGCTAGCTTCTGAAGTCACTGCTTCAACAACTTTAAAACCATACGAATAGACTGAGGATTTCCAAAATTTCTTTTCAGTTGAGAAGCAGGTGGATTCATGAGACTGCCAACCCCAAGTCCATCAGAACAAGAGTTAATCATTTATGATTGAATTATCTGATGAGGGATTATTGTAGCTTTTGTTTAATATTGTTGATGTTGTTCTATGTTCTGGATATATAACACAGCCTTGTCGTTCTTACATATCTTTAACCCATATCTTTAACCCTTACATATCTTTAACCCATAACAATTTAGTAGATGTGGCATTTGTAAACTGAAACAAAACATTTACAAATTATCTTTTTCTCTGACACCCCCACCCTCTGTAGAATTCACAAATTCAAATTAGGTATTCTACTTTTCATGGTAATATAGTGATCTGTACAGGTTCAATAAGAACTTGTCCTCCTTTTAACCAGGATATATTAATAATTGGCAAATATGGTTATACAAATAAGACTGTGTTGGAAATATAAGAATGATGCTCTCTTAATCAAGTATAACCAGCTACAGTTAGAGAATTAAAGTTTAAAGTAGAGAGCCCCCTGAGGAAAACCTACTTAGTACTCAGCTTTCAGGGTCCCAGCCTTTGTTTCTCTTTGTGAGAAACAAAGACCAGGACCTCCGAGATTGTTTGATAACCTCAAGAAGAAAGAATTGGCCCAAATTATATATGGTGCAGGTGAAATCCAGAGAGAAAAGTTTCTTGAGTTTCCTTTGTAGCCTCAGGATAGGCAAATAATAAAAGGCTTTTAAAAATCTAATGTGAAAATCCCACAGCTAACATCAAATTCAATGGTGAAACCCTGAAAGCTTTTCCTTTAAGATCAGGAACAAGACACCTGCATTGAAAATAGTATTGGAAGTTCTAGACAAAACAATTACACAAAGAAAAAGAAGCATTCAAATTATAAAGAAAGTAAAATTATTTCTGTGCACAGATGACATTACCTAGTATGTAGAAAAATTTAAGGATTCCACAAAAGAACTGTTTGAACTAATAAATTCAGCAATGTTGTAGGATACAAAACCAACACATAAAATTCAGTTGCATTTTTTTTAGATGGAGTCTCACTCTGTCGCCCAGGCTGGAGTGCAATGGTGCAATCTCGGCTCGCTGCAACATCCACTTCCCAGGTTCAAGTGATTCTTCTGCTTCTGCCTCCTGAGTAGCTGAGATTACAAGCACGCACCACCACGCCCGGCTAATTTTTGTATTTTTAGGTGAGATGGGGTTTCACCATGTTGGTCAGGTTGGTCTCAAACTCCTGACCTCGTAATCTGCCTGCCTCAGCCTCCCAAAGTGTTGGGATTACAGGCGTGAGCCACCACACTTGGCGAGTTACATTTTTATATGCTAACAATGAGCAACCCAAAAAGGAAATTAAGAAAACAATTCCATTTGCAATAGCATCAAAAAGAATAAAATAATTAGAAATAAACTTAATTAAGGAGGCAAAGGACATCTGCACTGAGAGTTATAAAACATTAATGAAAGAAAATTTAAAAGACAGAAATAAATGGAAATGCATTCTGTGTTCATGGATTGAAAGACAATATTGTTAAGATGTCAATACTAATCAAAGTGATCTATATATTCAATCCCTATCAAAATTCCAATGATGTTTTTTACAAGAATAGAAAAATGCATCCTAAAATTCATATGGAATCTCAAGGGATACTGAATAACTAAAACAATCTTGAGAAAGAACAAAGTTGGAGGTCTTACACTACCGATTTTAAAACTTACCAAAAATCTGCATTAATCAACATAGTATGGTATTGGCATTAAAGACAAACAAACTAATGGGGTACAATAGAGAGTCCAGAAATAAACTATCACATATATTATAATTGATTTTTGACAAGGATGCCAAGACCATTCCATGAGGGAAAGGACAGTCTTTTTAATGAATATGTGAGGAAAACTGAATATCCACAAGCCAAAGAATGAAATTAGATCCTTCCCTTATACCATATACAAAAATAAACTCAAAATAGATTTAAGACCTAAATGTAACCAGAAAACTATCAAACTCTTAGAAGAAAACATAGGGGGAAACCTTCAGGACATTAGATTTGGCAATGATTTCTTGGATAACAAAAGCACAGGCAACAAAAATAAATAAATTGGATTTTATCAAAATAAAAACTTCTGTGCATCAAAGGACACTATCAATACAGTGAAATGCAATCCATGCAATGGGAGAAAATATTTGCAAATCATATATCTCCCAGGGAACCAATATTTAGAATGTATAAAGAACTCCTACAACTCAACAATAAAAAAGCAAATAATCCAATTAAAAAGTTAGCAAAGGACCTGAATGACTATCACCCCAAAGAAGATGTACAGATTGCCAATAAGCACAGGAAAAGATGCTTAACGCTAGGGAA